GTTTGATGTATCTCTTGTGCATCAGCGCTAGATACGCAGAGAAAAATAGGCGGTTTTTTCCGCTTTTTTTTCAAGTGTTTGTGCTCACCCACCGAGACATGGCCCACCTCACTTTTTTAACGAATTTCAGGCGGTAGGGGGGGTGGGCGATGACTCGGGATATTACGGTAATTTTAAACATAAGCAGAAACCGAAACTTCGGCTCCGTCCGGCAACATTGGCATCCGGCTGCGAAGAACATGGCTATCACGTAATACGAGATGTCACATGATCCTCTGCACGACGGCCGGCGGGATTGGGGCAGGAGTGTGCCAGGCGCAAGTGTCTGCACCGCACTTTTTGCCACCTTTTGGGGTCTACAACATTCAATGACGTCTAAACAACTGCGGCATAAGACTGCGCACATAGTTTGCGTACTGTGAATGAAACTCCGAAAGACAACAATCACAAACGGTGAGAAGATGACGGCAGTTGTGACGAGGGAGACGGCGGTAACGGCGGGACCACGCAGGGCGGCCGGACGGCTCCCAAACGCACTGCGCAGGCGCCGAGAGGAGACAATGCTGACGTCACCCGTTACGCTTGCCCGGAAAAGTAAAAACAAGCAAAAGGGGGCAATCGTGATTATGTTTAGCTCAATGTTGGCTACGCCCACGCCATAGCCTCGACAACGCTGTTGGTCGTGCCTCCATTCACCCGCTCAAGCCAGCCGATTTTGGCAACTTGGCGAGTTGCGAAGTTTGCCGGACCGTTTAAAAAACATTTAGAACTACGCCGTAATATTTGACGTGAGGTCTTCCTAGGTGATTCTGAGGGGTCTGCATTGTATCTTTAAAAACAAAAATGAAGCGGAGTTGCTTTTCAATCACAGATGATTGGCAAAGGGTCTTATTCTCAACGTCTTTCCAGGACGACGGATCAAGCTAAGCATGTGGACTGTGCAATCAATTGTTGATGTTTCAGGCTTAGGGCTCACAGGGAGGAGTTTCATAATACTGTAAGCAGGCGGTGTTTGTTCCCCTTTTGCTCCAGGGCCAAGATTTAGTATGGATAAATGTTATTGTTAACAGTGGAAGCTATGAATGGAAACTGCGTGCTGTCCAGTGGTCAATGCTCTCACACTGCATGCCGGGCTTAAAGCTATCTCCATTCCCTGCGCACCATCAAAAGGGGGCTTATCAAAGACAAAAACCTTGCCAAGTATGCTTGATTTCACTACAAGCTCTAATCTAAGACTGTTAAGGCCATTGACATGTATAGCTTGCCATGGTCGTTTGCTTTCGCTTCTTGGTATTATAGGCAACATGTTTTCACATGCTTGTTTACAAAGAAAAACTAAATCATGACTCAATGGTGCCACAACAAAATAAGAGATGAACAAGGGCAGGGTACATCTTAATGATGTGCACTTTCTTTCATCCACGAGATTAAAAACAATGTTAACTCGCAACATGTTTTCCCATGAAGCTGTTAGTGAAAACTGCTGACAAGAACAGAGTCAAAGAATGTAAATTGCCAGAAAAGTAAACTCAGCAAAGAAGAAGGTAAATAAACTCTTAAAACTCAATAAAAAAAAAAAAGAAATCAGGACCCTAGGTATTTAAAACATTCACAAATTCGGATGTCACCACACACATTCTCAAATGTGTGTGGTGTGCAGAACAAGAAAAAAGAAAGAGCTGGCATTTTCTGAATCCAGAAAACCCACCCACACTGGGACGGTTTTCAAACCATCCTGCCAGTCACAAGGCGTCGGTTGTCAGGACACTTGTCCAGGTAATAGAATATTTGCTCGGCTGAGGCCGAGAGAAGAAAAGATCAAACTGTCTTTGCTGACCTCAAGAAGAATGGCTACTTGAGCAGTTTTATCCACCGCACTACCCATCTTATGAAGAAAAGTCATCAGTGCCAGCAGCCAAGTATGCACCTCAGCCAACCACGCACATCAGTGTTCCCTATATACCAGGAACAAGTGAGGTGCTGGCACGTGTGCTGGCTAGAGAGGGGATCCAGATTCGCCCACAAGCCAATATCAACATTTGGACAACTTATGCAACGACTGAAAGATCGCCCACTTAAAGAGAGAGTGCAAGGTGTCGTTTATAGAATTCCATATGCGGATTCTCCAGTCACGTACATCAGCGAAACCAAGAACTTTTAGGAGAGAATCCAACTCCAAAACGGTGTTCACAAGTTTGACCACGAGCGCAGCGCGGTTGCTAAACACTGCGACGTCAAAGATTACCGCATCGACTTTCAGAACGCTCCCATTCTCAACGTTGAAACCAACCACCAACAGCGAATTTTCTTGGGGTTGTGGCACATACAAACCACGCCAGGAAACAAATAAATCTTTGTTCTTTACCATTCGCATATGTCCAAGGCTTGAAACATAGGGTTCCTAATACGGGCTTTGTTGGACGTCCCCCGTTTTTAATTATTCCACCCAACCAGACTGATCTCACATGAATCTTAATGTTAAGACATTTTTAAATGCCATCATGATGGCATGCAAGCCCATTTCTCACACCTGCCAGAGCCTAATTTAAGGGAAGACCTAACGTTAGCGAATCCTCTACTACTCACAAAACATGGGTCATGCTAACAAGTCAGGCTAAATGTCAATAATGTATAAGCAATATTGAGAACCTCCACTTTGTTCACCATCAGGAATGTTTCCTGTGGTCTTATACTCCTGGAGAAAGATTTTAACTAGCAGACTTAACACATTGTGAGAGGCATCACCTTGTTTATCCGGAATATATCAATAAAAAAAGCTCCATTAACATAGCTTTTTTTTTTTTTTTTCTGCTTGTGACGGCAGTTCGAGCCTCAGTGACAGGTGCCACAATTAGCTTGTTCCCTAAAATCACTTGTACCAGAATTTTACAAACCTATCGCCACAGGCCATTCACTGCTTCCTTGAAACATGCACCCAAGGAGGATGTACAAAGCTCATCCGACAAAGACAACGGAAACTCTTATCTGCACTTTAATGACTACTCAGATGATGCTTAGTTAACACAATACTTGGGATATTTGATACTTCACCTCTTGAAATTTAGTAAATTCAAAATAAACCGAAAGTCTAGTTTTACCTCAAAGCCAAATCAACGACGGGAATCTGGCACGCCCCAGAGGAGGACTGGGGATTAATTTCGGCCACCTGGAGATTTCTTGACGTGCAACCGAAAATTCGCAATCTGGCCAGGATTTGAACCCGCCAGCCGGGTTCAGCTTCGCCAAAATGCAAAAATTAAGATGGCAAAAAAAAAAAAAAAGAAGAAAACATTTACAGGATTTTTATCTTGCCACCAAGTCACTCTTGGTGGCAACTACAAGGTTCTTTGTGTACAAAACACACTTTGATTTCACATTGCATCTTGAATCTACGCTGCAACGCAAGTCATCGGAAATGTTTTTGCATGCTGAATGATAAAACAGATCTCCTATCGTCCATCATTTTGCCTGATAAGCACATCCCCTTTAGGTCAGTCGAGTCGCCAATAATATTGCAGGGGTGGAACTCATGAAATGTACTTGGGAGCAGCCATGGGAGCAGCTGAAACAGCTGTTTTGGAGCAGGTTGAAGCAGCTAGAACTACATTTTGGAGCAGGTTAAGAGCAGCCCAGATTAGTTTTCATTGCATTTCAGTTTGTGTTTTAGACAAGCACGGAAGCAATCTCAATTGTACTTAGCAGCACATATGAACACGAGTGGTTAGAGACCTCGTTAGATGGGATAACATTGTGAAGGATGCAAAAACTTGAAACTTTGTGAGCCTTAATGAGAACCAAAAGGCAATAACCACATGTTTCTGAAGATAGCGTTCCTTGATATTTTCTGAGTGGCTTTCAGCAGCTCAAAATGCAAAGCAGCACTGCTTATCGCAAAACCCACACGTGCTCGACATAGTAATTATATGTGCGAACCATGTGACGTGCTTAAACGGATGTGCAGTTGCACGAAGGAACAGGGAAACAAATTTTGAGTTTATCCTATTGTGCAACTCAATATTGAAGCAGCAGACTACGATTAATGGAGTTATCGTATTCGAAGCAATAAGGAACAAGGCTAAAGTACGCCGAGCAGATGTACCGCTCGCACGAGAGCTGCTGGCCGGCAAGGTTTCGGATCGGGCCGCGTTTCAGAAGTTATCAAATAACGATTTTTCTTGCGGGAATGTGATTCCAACTTCTAACAATGAAGTACTAAAAGGAATATTTCGCTCATTTGTTTTTAACTGGCTGACGTTTGGATCCCGGGCCGCAGAACCCAAGGCAATCTGACGCTTAACGGCTCGACCTCACATCGGCCAACTTGCTTAACCGCTTATGGTTGAAGAATAACAATCTAGTAGCAGGTGCTGTAGTGCTTGAAATCAGACCTCCGATTTCTTTCGCGCGCTTCAAGACTCGGGATACACAGGAAGAATAAAGAGAGCAAATTATTGCAAGGCCGACGCAGCTGAACGCGCTCATTGTTGCCAATCGAGTCGATAGAAATTGAAACCAAGAGAAAATACAATTTTTTTTTGGCGCACGTTCTGCGATTTGGTGCATAATGGCGCCAGGTATTGGCTGTGGCGCAGTTTCCACAACATGACGCAGACAAATGCGTATGGCGCAAAATGGCGCAAATGTTCCAGCCCTGCATTGTTTCACAGGGTTGAGGCCCCACATCACGTGGCACAACTTTAAACATCAAAAAATATAATAAATGTAAAGTGGCAGCAAATGATGTTCGGGTGACTTTGTGACAATATTTGCACATAAAATTAATTTAGGAAGAAACAGCAATTGCAAGATTATTGACCAATTCCAGGAAGCGACACTACCTTGCCTCAGCTGATGCCATGTAGCCATGTCGCATGGAGGCAACAGGATGCCATGTGGATGCTGTTGCACCTATGCGAGCCTCCCTTTTGCCGTGGTGCAGAGCCACCATTGCAAACATTCGATGACCTTACAGCACACCGGCCGGGCACTACACCACCCACCTTTCGAGCCTTCAACACCGTCCGGGGCTTGGCAATTTCCCGCGAAGCCTCGAGCGTCACGTCCCTTTTGGCCGTCCGGTCAAACACCCGGAAGAAGTTGTTGTACGAGCCCGTCATGATGGAACTGCAAAGGGGCCAACGATCAGCGCCCCCGACAAGCACTTGCACCAGTCGGCTCACCTGTCCGTGCCGTTCCAGCAGCACTCAAACTTGTCGAAGATGCAGTCGTTCTCGTAGAGGCTGCACAGCTTCGAGCGCAGGTACTCGTGCACATTGTAGCACTCCACGGGTTTACTGTCCATGTTCAAGTCCCACACTTTGACAGACAAGTAGTCCCTCGAGATCATGTAGCGGCCGTTATTGCTGAACCGCACATCCGAGATGCTCGAGATGATCTCGGAGAAGAAGCTCCGGTTGGTCGGATCCTCCGGCTCCTCAAACACTGCAGAGGGAAGAGTGTTGGTGCGTCAGTCCCTGCCACCACACCGCCAGACCACCACTCACGTTTCGCATGCTGGTCGCAGAGGGCTGCCGCACGCATGTCGCATAGCCGGATGGTGCCCTTACTGCTGCTGTACACAAACATATGGCACTGAGACGGGTGGAACTCAGCCGCCGTTATTACTTCCGTCAGTTCCTCCATGTTGGTCGGTTTAATATCTACAATATCTGGGGGAAGTGGGTGGGTTAAGCAAAAAAATAAACAAATCCCACACTGCCTAACATCTCAAACACAAATCAACCAGGGCTGCAAAGTGTTTTAGGTACAAATTTCAGGGAAACTAGCTGCAAAAACAAAAGTTTCCCAAATAAATTGAGCAAAAATTTTCAGCTTGCATACACTATCGCTGAACCTCTAAGCCCTCCTAGCCCAACTGTTACAAAACTTAAAGGTACCTGAGGAGGTTTCTGAGATCACATAAATATGGCGATAATTCACTCTGCTGGCTCTAAGCATCTTAGAAATCCCTAAATCTTTGTGATGCACAACAGATTTTCCTAATAAAAAATCAATCGAAACTCGCAACACACCGAGGTCATCTCAGGCAATGTAAGGAGCATGTTTCGAAACCAGGACCTTGTCAGCCAATAGCAAGCGAAGGATCCTTGAGTCTCCGACCGGTGGACCCGCGAAATGATATCTCGAATGAACGCGGCTCGCCGCCCGGACACCTGGACTTCGGCGAGTTTTTTTTAGTCAATCGTACTGTTGTAGCAGACAAACTCAATTGTGTACCATCGCGCCATGGCTTTCGCTAACCTGACGCCGATAAATTAGCCCAGCGAGCGCGCGCTTGAGCAGACCAGCAGACAACCGAACACATAACTCCTATGGAACACGGAAAAAACAAAAAAGCATAGTACGCTGTTTTGAAACAAATATTGCAGTAATTATGTTTTCTTTCGGCAAAAAATACACATTTGTCTGATACTCTTATTATCTACAAAAGCATACAGATTTTGTAATAACAGCATTTGCAATCTCCCAGAAATGCCGCGTTTTAATTGGTCACATGTCGTCCTGATTGCTGGAACATGCTGCTCCTACCGCCGGAGATGACCTCGGTGTGTTGCAATCTGTTTTTTTTTAAATGGAAATCGGCTGCCCATGCTTCTGATTTAGGTATTTGCAGGATGCTCAGAGCCCACCAGAGTGAGTTATCCTCATATTCAGGCGATCTCAGAAACCTCTTCAGGGCCCCTTCGAGGCCTTTAGTAAAGTAGTGACTAGTGAACCACATGAAATTATAAACTGAAGCGGCAAGCGCAATGCAGTTGAAACCTCTGGGTATGATGTCACACCCAGCAGTTGGTTTTCGGGGTTTTTCTCTTTCTATTAATCCGTTCCGGTCAAATGCTCGTGATATACAAATTCACGGGACAAAAATACGCCAGAATTCACCTCTTACTATTTTTTTTTTTTTCAAGAAGCTTTTCAGCTTCCCTCTAACTGGGGAGTGCATCTTCAGATGTGCCTCAATTATGACCTTGAAATGGGGAGTGCCTATACCAGTCTTCACCTCCAGAACCGCAGTAAAAAAAAGTCTGGCTCCACGCAGAGCATTACTATTTCCTCTTTTAACAGAGAATTAAGACACATGTAGGTACATTTTAGATTGGATATACCTTATCTTATCAAGATGTGTTTCAAATGCAAAAAAGCATTGCTTCCTCCTCCGACGACCACCTATTATAAGAACTACTTCGCGTGGCGTATGAACAATGCGCAAAAATTCCTTTTTTTCTTAAAGTGAAAGCGAGCACAGACACGAGACAGTTTTTTTGGATGAAAGGAGCGTGCTGCAAAACAGGTGCCAATTTTTGACAGAGGTTATAGGCGCTGCCGCCCGTCGAACACAATACCAGACATGTTGAGGTTTATTTGCATTCGCTGGCCGGTGAAATAATTTAATTGCTCCGGTAGGAAATGTCGCCTCTCTTCTCATTCATTCTGGTTCTGGATCATGGATGCGCGGATGCAGCGAAAAGTTTTGACAGATGCAGAAATCTCGGCATTGCTTCACCAAAGTGACAACAATGACTGACACGAATATATGCTCACTAACAGGAAAAACTGTTCACAAGTCACGCCGGCCATTTATTTTTCCGAAATCCACTAGTGAAAACACCAGTCTCTAAAACCTACTGTAAATATCAAATGCATAAAAATGAACTGCACCTCCCTTTCTCTGTATTTCAATGCAACAAGACGTTCGTTATTCCTTTACACTATAAACAAAATTAAATTTCACTTCAAGCCTTTTGAGTGAATTAAAAACTCACCGAGGGTCCCCACTTAAGGGGTTGGCTTTAAAGTCCACATCAGGCACTGCAATCTTACGTAGACCATATGCAACACACATCATCCCACAAAAACAGACGGTACTTTCGCTACAGGGCCCCTTTGTAGCTTCCCACCCTGAAAAGCCCCTCCAAGGGTACACGGGTGTTCGGCCTCTATACATGGGCACCAACTTAACCAAGGTCGGGACATCAGACTCTACCCGCAAAAGTGGAAAACAAAAGCCCCGACGTGCTACAACGCCACGAGAAAGGATACTGAAGCTTTGGTCCGTAATCTCCAGGTGCCACAGGTTGATCCGAAGGTCGTCGGCGGACAGGTACGTCTCCTGGTCGCTGTTGACCGAGATGGAATTGATGTGGTACGTGTGCGCATTGGCAAAGATGCGCCGGGGTGTCGCCTCCACCAGCAGCTCCATGGGCTGCAGGGTGGGCACACGCAGCGCCGGCAGCCCCCCCACGTCCCCCCGGGAGCTGTAGCCGTCGATGCGCTTGTCCCGCTCCGACACCTTCCACAGCTTGATCGTCTTGTCGTTGGTCGACAAGAGGAAGTGCGCCTGGTTCTTCCGGCGCAGCCACCGGATCTTGTTGATCTTCTCCTCAATCTCCAGGCTCTTGAGGTAGTCAAACTCCGGCTCGTGACTTTGAAACGTGCTGTACACATTGTACTCCCCTCTCCGAGGCTGGCTCTGCCACGACTGCAAAGTGGGCGACGTGCCGCGGGTGAGCCAACTGCCAAACTTCCCAATCAGAAACACTCGGCCCGCCGACGTGGGTGGAAGTATGCAGAAACAAAATTTCGGGGGCCATGTGCCACTGCATATTGCATTGATATGAGCCACTACCGGCTTGCGGGGGCTTTGGCTGAGATTCAAAGCCACCAGCTAGACATTTGTGGGCAAATGCTTCACTTGGGAGCCAGCCGTCTCATGTACGGCGTCGGTCCGCGCAAATTTTGTGTACTGGTGGCACTAACATCGTGACACACAATTCCACCAAACATGTAGGCACTCCAAGTGACCCCTTTCGAGAGGTGAAAAGTTTCACATTTTGCTAGTGCTGCTTCGCTTAATTCCTTCTGGGAACAAGGTTTTCAAATTGGGATAATTGGGTTTATAAACCAGCTCATGTATTAGAGTTCAGAACTTGTTCATGCGATCAAATGAAGGTAAAAAAAGCAGCCGCAAAATACCTCGTCCACAGCATACACCCGCTAGACGGCAAACTCTCACCAACAATGGTGCACGAAAATTAATTTGTTTATTATTAAAGGGACCATGAAAACGATTTGGAAGTTCTGTTTCTGAATGATTGAGATAGAAGTCATCATTTACCAGATCTAGCAATAATCATGCTGGAACCAATGACAGCGACTACTGAGACTGATAAAAAAATTTAGCTTTTGAGTCACAAGGATCACCACATCAAGTTAGGCTCGTAGCACGATTGGTCAAAATCAGCGAAATCCGGCTGTCTTCTATTTCAATTGTAAACTGTTGTTTTCTTTTTTAATTTAATAACAACGAAAACCATATAATTTCGTGAGAAAGATTTACTGCAATAGAAATATTATTTCAGTCCGTTGATGCATAGACTTAAATAGTGAAGCGTTTTTTACTCGTGAATATTGGGCGAAGACTGATTTGAAAAGCATTCAGTTTGGCAATGGTGAAAGAGTTTCTTTCTCATGAGAAAAACGAAAATGGCGCACCATTGTGATTTGTCTGTTTTGTCGCGCGATTCTTGGTTCCACACGTGAAGGGAGCTGCAAAAACTGTTCCAGGCTGACGTGCTGCAGTTTCCAGAACTCCTCCGGGTCCACGTCAAAAAGCTTCTGTCAGACCTCGTCTAGCACGCCCCGATCTTTCCTGCGCATTCATTCAGCCTTTCATTCAACGAAACCTTTCTGCCCCTGTGGTGTACTGAGGTGATGTGCGCGAATATGCAGGAAGGAGGACATCAGCAAACGCCCCTGCGCTTGCCTATGTCTCCATCACTTTTACGCTGAGCCTCTTCGAGCACGACCATACTTGTCATGTCTTGGGTTAAAAAAGCAGATGACATCCGCATTAAGCCTGTCACAGTGTTCTGTCTCACATGCTATGTAACAGCGACACAACAATTATGGTTCTTCGTAATGTAATGGCGCTGCTCGCAATGCGATCGGCAATAGCAATAAACAATGGCAACAAAAAATAACATTCATACACACAGCTGCGTTTGACTGCCTTGTGTTGACAGATCACCACGAGTCACCGGGTCATCTGTGCCTCGTGTGAAGCATGGCAACCAATTCAAGAAGTAGCTTGGCAAGCAGCATACGAAGCACGAATGTCCTGGTTACTCGCAGTGGCAACGTGGTACAACGCTCTTAAACTCCAAAGCGCCGCTACAGCTCACCGTGTCACCAAAGCTCATAACCACCAAGCTCCACCGAAACAAATGGCTCCCTGTTGAGGTCAGCCAGTGTTGGGAAGTACATTGCACTTAAAGTACTATTTCAAGGAGGTTTAGAATACTTGTACTTTACTGAAAGTATGTTTCCCTCATACTCTATTGTATTTTGTATCACAAAATGGTGCTTTGTTAACTCTGAAACCACTCAACTTTATCCCATAATCGCCGCCATTTCCGATAATAACTGATGCACCCCCAACTACCCCTACGGCAATGAATACCAGTAAACAAAAAAAAAACACTTGGCGACGAGAAGTTTTGGAGGAGCCACCTTGAGGGCACTGTCCTGTGGCAGAGTGGGTAGGCTGTGAGCTGACGACGCACTATATAATAGCTAGCTGAGGAGTGTCAATGCTAGTTCGCATCTACGCTGATTAAAAGTCAAATTTGGGGGTTTTACGTGCCAAACCAACGACGGGCATCTGGGACGCCCCAGCGGAGGACTGAGGATTAACTTCGACCACGTGGGGATCTTTTGACGTGCAACCGAAAGCTCGGTTACCACGGCGTCTTCTCCGCAATAAGCCTCTGTCAGATTGCGGGCACCTCGGCCGGGATTCGAACCCGCCACAGGGGGATCCGTAGGCAGACGCTCTCGCCTCGGAACCTATGCTGATTAAAAACAGTTTATTTATTTGAGAAATAAATATGGCGTTTTGCGAGTGATATTTCTAATGAATAACAGCGCCTTGAAGTTTGTGCTGCAAAGCGTGGACACTTATTTTAGCTACACTGAGCTTGTCGATACCAACGCTTCTATCCAAGTGCGAATCGACCGTTGCTGACGAGCAAATGTTTGTCAGCAACTGACGCTTAGCTCCTTCAGCATCGAACACGTGGCAAAGAAGTTTGTCCCATCACGACTTCTGCTAAAAAAAAAAAAGCGGAAATTTTTTTTAACTTCTTAAAATTATTGGTTATGGCTCAGAAAATTCATGCGATTGATTAGTACTAAGAATTGCTTACAAATTTTAAATTGCTAGCTGAGGAGCGCATTATGCATTATGCAACTCTTTGGGTCAGCAAAATTAAACATACAAACGGTAGTAATTCGAAGCAGGTATATAGGCCTCCTGCGTCGGCCAGGGGGCACAACAAAAGGGACTCGTTAGGACTTGTTTCAGGTAGTACAAACTTGAGCGTCTGAAACTGCCTCCTCTGGTGCAGAATGTAAGATCATGAGGAAAATACAAAGAAACATTCGAACACCGTCGAAGTACAGGTAAAGCTAAGACGCTAAAAGCATGAGCGAAGAGACACCGTTTCACGCGTTCCAAAAAGAAAGGGGGAAAAAAAAAGCTTTGGGACGCCAGATTTTTTTATGTTGCCATGCGGAGATAAGAGATGCATACCCTAGCAGTGGTGGCATGAACCTGGCACTTTCTATCGTCTTTTAGCATTGAATCTAGCAGATTTCGGAAGACCAAAGGTTTCTTCAGTTCTTCAGCAACTCACAGAAAGAAAAAAGCTCAGCCAACATGCCATAAGTAGTGCGAGGCCCAATCAGGTGAGCTTGTACTACCCAGAATGAGGGCACCAGTTTGTTCAAAGCTTCAGCGCAGGAGGCCTATACCTCATTTTTTGGAACGCTGAAGTATCACCGGCTTACTATTTAAAAAAACTTCAATCACAAGGGGGCCACACACATTTCACGTCGACTGTGTGAACAAGGATTTAGTTGAAACGACTCCCGAAGCCGCTTCTCCCTGCCAGTTAGTTGGAGAAAATGTTTGTTTACTGGTTGACAAAATTAAAAAGAGGAATCGACTTGGAAATCTTGAGAGACCAGCACTCAAAGAATACATTAGAAACAACAGGATACACGGAGTCGCTTTCACTAAAGTGTTTACTACACACGCGAGAGGTTCTTGAATTTCGCTTTCTTATTTTCAATTTGATGAGACATTCCTTTCTCAATTTTATTTTGTCTGAATCATAATAAAAAAATACACCATATTTAGAGTTGTAGATGTTGTAGCGAAGCAAAGAGTGGATATTTCTATTTTCGTTATCCAGCTTTTTGTACTGGGGCAGAGAACAGCACACCACAATACCAGCTCGACAACTCAGCGCCAAAAGTGTTTGTTAGCATGACTATGCGTGGCACGTTTTCAAGGATTGGTAAAATGTCCCACTACTAATATCACTTTAACAAATAAACACAATGCATGAAACAGGCTTTGCCGCGCGGTACCCAAACAGCGCATGAATCAAGCTGATAAGCTGAGGGGTCCAAGATCTGCGCAGTCTACTACCCACGATGTCACAAAAGATGATGATGATAGCTAGAGAAGCGCCCTCTGTAGTTCAAGCACGCTGCCAATAGGTGTTATTCACTTGACGTCACTCACTATAGTATGTTGCAACTCAAGAACGCAGGGCGAGGGTAAGACGGGCCGGGGAGGAGGAAGCAGGCGGAACGCTAAAGAGAGAAGGAGGTTTCCCCCTTTCTGCACCAGCGTTCCGTCTGCTTCCTCCTCCCCGGCCCGTCTTATCCTCTCCCTTCGTTCTTGAGTTGCAACGGACTATAGGTGCGCTGGCATCAACCACCGTGGCCGGCATCTTCGAGGTCTCTTTCTCATCCCACGTAAGTCACATTGCGTGTCACGCCTTGTCTGACCATTTCTTTCAGCGTGGCTTAGCTGCATTTTAGAAGTTGAAAGCCACCGAAACAAAAACATGCAAAACGCGACCTCCAAAATGGGGGTGCGACAGTGGCGCTCCTTGGAAAAATTTAATATGCCCATTCAGTGAAATAGGGGAATGAAATGGTATCATGAAAGATTGTGGTAAAAAGTAATTGTACACTCTTGTTTGAAAGTGTATTGCATTCATAGTATTGAGCACGGTGGACTTACTACTTTACTTGAAATACATAACCGCTCATTTACTTTGTACTTCACTTCAAGTACTTTTTAGATGTACTTTACCCAACACTGACATCACCTCAGTTTTGAGAGAGGTTGTATGAAGGGAAAGCCAAACTTTAGTTTGTTTTGATTTATTTTATAGAAACAATAAGCTTCACAAAACTGTATAAAAATATTGAGCTTATTGCCAGGTCTCTAGAGAGTCGGAAAACATCCTTTTCTAAAAAAAAGTTCGAAATCGTATTCACGGTCCCTTTAAGTAGCACAAGTGCCCACTCAAAAATGCGATAACTGCGGCAAACACATATTCAAGGCAGATTTATACCTACTTTGTGAACTCTCGGCGATTCTGAAAGACAAAGGGTGGGTGCTCGATCAAGCTTGACCACATTTCCAGTAAAACTATAACCCAAAATGCAGTTTCATAGAGAAATTTTGTGGCCATCATGACAATAAGCACTCTCAGTAAAACTAAGAAGTCCAAAGATAATTTATCCTTTTTGCCTTCCTCCATTTGCAGCATTATCAGGAAAGTATTGCTGCCATCTGGAGATTGCGCTCACATACTCAATCACGCATCATTTCATTAGTCATTAATTGAACGGAACAGCAGATCCTGAATCCTCTTCATAGATATTCCATGCAAAATTACAAATACCAAAAGAGGGCACAGTATTTATGGTTTTCACTGTCAATATAAATTTGAAAACACTAATACATGTACATGACTTTCTTGATTAAGCAGTGTAAACAAAATAAACACAGACCATCTTGATCATGCTGCATTTATGATAATTCCAATCCCATTACCTTGCCTAGTACTATGCCAGATACCATGACACTGGCCATGATAACATTGCCTTCTCAAGGATTGTGACAGAAGGCTAAGGCAACTGAAGCAACATTTAGAGCATTAACAATGTTACGTTTCCACACCCATTTATGCACCAATGCTGGCTTATTTCAATCATTATTCTACCAATTTTATGTGCTGGAGCAACACCTATGTCAAATGATCCCTGATAGACAATTTTATATTTGGAAAAATAAATTTAGATTTGTTACACCATATATGAAGCAACAATGAAAGAATAAAAAGTTAATATTAGGCATGCCAACTACCCAGTTAAACAGTATGCCAAGTTGGAAAGCCGACTGACTCCCCAGATAAGTGCATTTTAGCAAAAACAAAAGCTGGACATAAAAACGTGCTTTACCAATGCCCCTCATCAGCAAAACCTGGCTAAACTCTGCCAAATAACTGGCAGTTGTACACCTGGTGAGCACTAGGTTCACATTCACTCCCTCAGGGGTGGCATTATAGCCAATGACAACTGGCTTCATTAAAAATGCTGACTGCCGTTTGGCTCAACAAGCGGGTACAAACTGAAAGGTTAAAAGAGGGAAAAGGTGTTTGTGAGCCTCAGACTAATTGGACAAGATCTCTATGAAAATGACCTACCCCAGGTTCAAACACAACAGTTCCCACCTTGCAAAACACAACCACTACAGCAACCCTCGTAATTCTGAAGAACACATTCCCATCCATCTCCTCCTTGTAATGGTCAAACTCATGCACTGGGCACCTAACAGCCACTTGTTGCTATGTAAGCTCCAAAAGCAGAGACAAACGATACCCACAAAGCCCCTAAAACTCAAACTATGAACCAGGGACTTTTCCTTCACGAGCTCATCGAGTAGACAACAAAAAGGGAATGTCCAGAAGGCCCTGACCCCGCCGAAGGGCCTGTAGCTGCCGTGGTTACCGATGTCGGACCACGACCAACGGACAGCCCCGGGGGCGCTTTTTCCCTCGGCCCCACCAAAAGCCTCTACTCACCGCAGGGTCCCTTTGGAAGATAACCACACGGCCCCCTTTGTCCCCCGTCGCCAACAGGTCTCCATCGTGGTTGAACTCGACGCAGGAAATTATGTCCGCTGCACACGAAGAGCAAATGATTCTCTATTCCGAGCACACTCCTGGCATAGGCGCAATCCCGAGTTCTCGTTATACTAGCAATGCTGGTTGCACGGTCCGAGCAAGAGGCTCAAAAACAGGATATCCAAAACCCGCCCGTTGCAAGAGGAAAGAGGCCCGATGCCCACTTTCGAAAGGTCCAGTCTCCGCTCGAAGCAAACAAAAAGAAAGCAACAGAAAAAACAGCGGCAAGGGTCCGGCGCAGCCGGCGACGGGCAGAAGAAAAGCAATCGGCCGTGCGCAATTCTACCAAGGTCACTTTTGGCATACTGCAACGTATATCGGTGCTGTCAGTTTTCGTTATAAATAGAGGCGCCGTACGGCAGGCACCGAGTGAACCGTTGCTCCCGCTGGACGCTCCTGAAAATCGCAGAGCTTCGCGACAGCATTCGTCGCCGTAATGCAATAACCGCACCAGCTAATTTCACCTATGCTGACAATAAAGTAACAAATATTACCAAGAAGACACACTTTTAAGGGCAATCGTCTCAAGAAGCGGGTGCTCGAGTAACGCGCGGAAGCGGTTAACAGTGGAGAAAAACTACAGTAGCAACTTTTCGGTCCCCCTCCCCCCACCTCCCCAAGTTTACAAAATTTTGATGGCAGCCTAAGCCTTGTACAGCAAATATAGCTCACTTGCCTTCGGTCACGTCGTCATCCAAAGTCCCCTTGACTTGGGAGAAACACCACTGGATTTCTCCATTGCCTGAGAGACCGAAAGGAAAAAGCACAATGAGATAAACAGTCACTTTTGTCCCTACCCGGCACCAAAGCGGCTGCCATTGCAGAGGAGAGCTGAGTTTTCAATCGGGAATCAGCCGTTTACCTGCCATTCCAGTCGCGATAAATAGCGCAAAACGTTATTTGTTAAGCTTGAAAAATTAGCTAACAGTTACTGACGCTACTAAGCATCTAAATTTCATTCGATGGCTTTGGATTTGCAACCCAACAGCAGAAAAGGATTTCAAGATGGCGCACTCCCCGTCAGAAGCGCCACAATGACGTCAAATGCGCAGGGCACGACGGGAAGAGAGCGTTCCTGGCTTTTGTTGTGACTGGACATAGCCGCCGCTTGTAATGTGGACTGGAAAGGCTGCTCGGCGGGAAGGACGCCAACGAACAAAGTTTTCAAAGCTAGGCTGGCTGGGTACTACCAGCTCTACATTTAGCTCGGGCACTGCGCGAGCGGTTTCCTATCCGGAATTTTAGAAATGATCTTGTTTTTGTTAGCGTGTCAACTGTCCGGAAACTTGTTCTCTCTCCGTCCCAGGTTCACTAGCAGGCAGCGAACTTCGGACCACCGTGCGTCCGTTGTTGACATCTACCGCGGACGCTGTTCACGAAATGATTAGCAATCACGAGAAACGAACAAAATTAGAAGAGTGTCAAGCTGGTGGGGCGTCCGAAATGACCACGTGACTGAACTAACTAATCTGTGACAAGTTAACACAGCCGTACCCGTACTGTTCTGCCGTTGGCGCCGTGTTCGCTTTATTTTTGATATCGACTGATTAACCCAAACTTTCCAGACAAAATGCAAAAGAGAACCAACACCACGACCAGAGTGTTCTGCACTCGTTTATTCACAAACAAAAGGCAAATGCTAGCTTTGACGCGGTCAGCGACATCTGGAGAAAAAAATGAAGAGGTGCGTCGATCTAATCGCATCAGGACGAAATTAGGGGTGTCGCAATTCCAAGTGCGCCGCACTCCAGATAAGGCGGTGTCTGAAAGGCGCTACTCGATAAGAGGCTCCCCGCCGTCAGCCACGAACGAACGTGAAACTGGGTGAGCGAAGAAGTGGGAACAGCCAAGTAAGTGGTTGCGCCGACGGACGCAGTCATTGGTTGATTTATTGGCACAAGTGCGCATCCGTCCACCCTTGGCATACTTCGCTACGTGGCGATGGGACCACGCTTCGGCGGTCAACCGCGGGCTTGCAGTCGAAGACGGCAATGCGGCGACGATACCTGCCAGGTTTCGGTGTCTGCGACACGCGGATCTCGCGTTGCAGACGACGCGCGCGAGCGACGCACGTTGCGGGCAGCCCCCGACGCGTAGAAGGCGATGCGCGTGGTCGACACCAGCAGCCAGGTAGGGGCCAGCTGGTGGCCAGAGGCACGCGATCCTTTTGACCATACGCGCGTCGCGGGGTCAAGGTTGTGAAACAAGTGGGATAGCCGGGACCGGCCGGGACACCACTGACACCGCCCCCTACACCTTTGCTGCCACCGCAATTTGGCGCGGGGCCAGCAGCCACCTGGCGGCCGGCGTGGCAGCTTTAAAAAATGCACTTGTTAGGTCACGTGACAGGGCGGCCATCTCCCATGTCGTAGGTAACTGGTTAGAGCCGTGAACTTATTTTCTAGGCACAGAGTTGAGCGTGGAAGCCGAGAGCCGCTGGGTGGTGGCCCATTCCGTCCGAGCACCATGAACATGCCATGGAAGATCAAAGAGCTGGTGGATAAAGCGTAAGTAGGCCAGCTTCGGCCGGCCGATTCCAGCTGGCGGTAGGCCTAGGCGGCCGGACTTTCCCCGTCCGGCGCCGCTTCGGCGGGTGCTAACGGGGTACCCGGGCGTCGCGCAGCACTAACATGGTGATGAACTACACGGAGATGGAGGCCAAGGTGCGGGAGGCCACCAACGACGTGGCCTGGGGACCCCCCGGCCAGCTGATGCAGGAAATCGCCCAGGCCACCTTCTCGTACGACAACTTCCCGGAGGTGATGGGCATGCTGTGGAAGCGCATCCTGCAAGACAACAAGCGCTGCTACAGGCGGCCCTACAAGGGCCTGCTGCTGCTCGACTACCTGGTGCGCAACGGCTCCGAGCGGGTCGTCACCTCGGCCCGAGAGCACATCTACGACCTGCGCAGCCTCGAAAACTACTCTTTCGTCGACGAGATCGGCAAAGACCAGGGTGTCAACGTGCGCCAGAAGGTGAAAGATCTGATAGACTTTATCCAGGACGACGAGCGGTTACGCGAGGAACGTAAGAAGGCTAAGAAAGCCAAGGACAAGTACATCGGCCTCTCGGGCGAGTCGCTCGGCTTCCGGTACGGCGACCGCAAGAAGACCGACATGGACGACCTCGATTTTGACCAGGGCTCCCGGCTTGGCCGTCGGCACAGCTTCGAGGACTCCCCCGAAAACAGGTGAGTGCTACCGCGTCAGGGACCACCGACGGGGGCGGGGGGCTCCTGACGCCGTTTCGCCACCCGCAGCAACGACGAGGAACGCGAGGAGCGGACCACCGGTGCTGCCTACCGGGATGAGCCCCGCACTGCCAGCTGGAAACCTCAAGCCAAGAAACTCGACTTGGGGGCTGCTGCCAACTATGGCCGAGAACCCGGTGCGAAGTCACCAAGCCCCCCTGCCCCAACCCCGACGCCAGTACAACACACTGTGGCCACCGACCTTCTGGGAGACATTCTCAGTGCTCCCGAGCCGCCCCCACCGGCCGCTGCCACGGCCAATGGCGACTTCGCAGACTTCAGTCAATTCCAGAGTGCAGCTACTCCCAGGTAGGTGCCCATGTGCTGACCCCTGTGCCGCGGACTCTCAAAAGTCCCCCCTCCCCCCCCCCTCTCTGTGCAGTGCCCATGACGACTTCTCAGACTTCGCATCCTGCAGCTCGACAAGCAGCCTCCCTGCGGGGCTTCTTGACCTCCCAGTGCAACCCGTGAGCTTGCAGCAAAACCTCCAGGCAAGCCCTGGCCTTCCGGTGCAGCAAAACTTGCAGACCAGCCCACCCACTAGCCTCCCTATGCCCCTGGGCTCGGCCGGCATCCCACTGGGACAGCCCTTCCCTGTGGGCCATCCGGCCGGCCTGACCATGGGCTTTCCCATGGTCCAGCAGCAGATGACATTCCACATGGCCCAACAGCCAGGCTTCCATCTCGGCCAGCAGCCGACTACGGTGCTGATGCCCAGCCCCGCTGGGCCTGCCCCCCTACTGGGGCCTGGCCCTACCTCGCCAGGCACCCTGCAGACCAACAAGTGCGGTAAGACGTGGGTGGACACTGGCAGCATCAACATAAGTGTGGACAACCTGAGTCTGAGCAGCAGGTATGCAAAGCCCGTGGCACCCTCCATGAACCAGCTGGCAGCCGGCGGGGCCAGCTCCCTGGGCCGGCTGCAATGAGGCCCCGACACGGAGCGGCCCCAGCGGGGGCACATATCACGGGGCTGGCTGCCCCTCGACTGGTGCTTCCACTGTTCCCCTACTTGCGTAACCCGGGACAGGCAGAAAGAAAATTGTGCTCAAGTGGCACCCCCCTGCTCCGCCCTGGCAGAATAAAGCAATAGAACAAAGCATCTCCAGGGTCGGCCTGCCTCCTCGCGAGCTCGACGTCTATTTTTAATAAAACTCTGGCATCTTGTTGCATGGTGTGTGTCCCTGGTGCTAGGTGCTCTGCCTGGCCCTCTGCTGGGCTTCAGCCTGCAGCCGCTCCAGCTTCTCCAGGCTCATGCTCTGCAGTGGGAGCAGCTTGGGCCTGCACAGCACAGGCCGGGCACGGCACTCCTGGAACTGCTCACCCCGACTGGGCACCACCTCGTGCACCGCCCCTGCATCTGCGACAAGCGCCACGTCGGGACGGCTGCGTGGGCACTTTTCCGTATACCCACTTTGCAAACAAAGCTTGTAGTTACAGGGTTGTTTGTACAAATGGTTATTGAATTTGCAATGAGAACTTTGCTGCAGAGCAGATGTTCCATATGGAATCCATATCTTGTTTTGCTCAAATAACCCAGCTGTGATAATGAGGTTACGTATGGTGTTGCAATCCTCAAATATTTGGGGGGGGGGGGGGGGGGGGGGGGGGGTTGTATCCTGCAATATGACAAATTGCAGCGGTTCCAGAGTGCAGTCTTTCAATACTCCTGTTGCACTCGTCCAGTCTACTGCATATCTTCTCGTTTATCGCGTGCTGCATCACCAATTTGCTCCTGTTGCCTAGAGTTTCGTTCAGACGGTGGTGTGACTTGTTTGATGGTTATGCTATCTAGCTAATACCCTCCCTTAAGCTCAGTCCCAATGTTGTTAAAGGAAAAGGCATGTGATCTGTAGCCCCAGAAAGGTTTTGTTTATACATGCAAGCACTGTTGCAAGCCTAATCATGCGCTCCAACTAAACAGTGGATAACGGCGCGGGGGCAGATACAGTGCAGACCCAGATACAGCAATTGCTATCTATTGACAGGTATCTATTTGGCAATATTCTTGTTTCATATGGCAATGTTGATGCAAGTAGCATATGGAGATGGGGCTTTTAACTTGCTCCTCGCAAGAATATATTCTCTGAAATGTTTTCAACTTCCATTTTATGTTTCCCCTATGTTGCATTTTATGTAGGCTGAAGATTTTCAAGTGTTTATTTTTAACGAAAAGCTATGGATGTTTTTTGGTGTTTATCTGTTTGTTCAAAATCTGAGTATTCCAGCGAAGTGTTTTGTACAGACATTAGAAACGGTGATTGTTGGTGAAAATACTAATAATAAACTAACAATTCAAATTTAATAGACCCTTTCCGAAATTCAGTGCCATCTGGTGGCTCATATAGCAGCTTAATTTTTGGCGTACAATTGGCGGCAATGAACTTGTATTTTATCGGGCACTGTCACTTTTGCAAGTCAATTGCGGGAGAGGAAGTGTTTACTCTGCAGTTCTTTCTTGATCACTTTCGTTTTCGATGGTGACAAAGATGCAACCTGTCAGAACGAAGCTCCAACTCGCAAAGACCCCCCTCGATAAAATTCGATACACCAAAGAGCTTTAGAACCAATTGTATGCCGCTCAGATTGAATAAAAGAAGCATCTTCAGTGTCTTCGTTCATCGGTCACTAGAAAGTTGCCGTTAGTACCAACATTCTTAGATGAGTTGACAAGCTCCACGGAAGAGTAGCGTTCGAAATTGGTTCTTCTCTGTTGCCTGCACACAAGCAAATACAGGCGGAGGGCGTTTCTAGCGCCACCAGCGTCAACGCCTCTACAGGCAACGAAGGACAGCTTTCAAACAACACTTTTTACGCAGACTTTTGTGCAAACTTTGTTTACCCTAAAAACCACGATAGATTCCCTTTCTACCACAGGTAATGTGCACTCTATGTTCGACCGGTACCGCCCCTTCTGTCCATTGGACGGGCCGACAGTGTAGCAAGTGCCACTGAGCACAGGCGTCACGAACCGGCGCCTGGCGTTCTAGGAAGCTTCTCAACTGGCTTGGATCTAGTAACGTTGATTAGTATGGCACAGATGGCATTTCTCACATGAGGATAGTGATCAAAATCGCCAGATTGAATTTCGGAAGGGGTCAACATACTACTTCTCTAAACCCTTACGTTATATTTCTTCATGCTTATCATAATGCAACAGAATATATATTTGCAAACTACAGACTGGTCGGAGTATGGACCAAAGTCTAACTACTCTTTAACATGATCATCCATAGTTTTACATGTTTTTTTCATCCAAGTGATTCTATTCGGCGGGGCTACAAACACTGAATTGTCCTCAAGCAAAATGTTTTGGCAACGAGGAAAGCACTTGCTCTTCCGTCTTTTGTAAGATTCAAACGATACCGACTGCCAGTGTAGTTTTCGAACACTGTCGTCCAGCTTTGAACTGAATGCAAGACATTGTGACCATCCCTGGTGATTGAGGTGATCGACTAACTTTAGCGCCCTGTCCTCCAAAGTCCCCAATTCCACTGATTTGCAAGTAGCAGCATGCTTGACATTATGCAAGATTACACGCCCTACGAAGGTCCAAGAAGGAAGTGTTTCGACGAGTCTGCCTAGAGCAAAAATTTCCAGAAATCCGTTTTTCAGTTATAATCGGTTTCGTACCTCTAACAATGATGAATGCCTATCAGCGTTTTTTAGTTAAAACCAGAAAGTATACGGCCTAATTATATGAAACTCCAAAGAACACCAAAAATAGACTAATTTAGGTGTAAATGAGCAAACTGAGGGAGTCTATCCTGTAGTTCACACTTCACATAAAAATAATCTTTTGGACAAAAGTGGATGGCCTTGTGTATTCTGCAGTCCTCTCTTACAAACCTTGTTGCACTGCCGTTCTCAAACGGAACAGCCAGGAGAATTCAAGGTTTACCCACAAAACCATTGCCCAGCTACTTCATGAAGCATATTGTTCAAATCATTCAGCAGATTATGAAGCGACTTTAAACTTGAAATAACAAGCATTTAGAATGACCTCTTCACGTTCACGAGTGTGGAACAAATGCCAGTTTTGTTAACTAATTCAGTCCACGGACAAAGTTTAAGGCTTCCTTTGTAGTTGAGTGTATGCGACAGAAAAGTACAGTAAAAAGCTGCTTTTTTTTAACCCATAAATGCAAGATTATTTCCTGGTGATGGATAATCTGCAGTCACTCTTGTTGAGGGTAAGGTGGGGTACTCTGGCGATTTTTTCACGGTCCCAGATTTGCCTGAAAATTCGCTAAACACACCAAAAAACATTGCTGAAATAGTACCCTAAATATTAGGTCAAAAAATTTTTTTTCTGCAAAGTAATTGAATTTACACTTTTAGCCCTCATGTTTTTCAAACTGAAAGTCTACTGACAACAATGAAAAAGTGACGCTACAGGAAGGTTGGGGTTCACTCTTTGCAATAGAATTTGTTCCTAACTGATTCCAAGCAGTTTCATGCCATGGTGTCAAATGAATGCTTTGGAAGCTTGCTGCTGGGGAACAAATGCTTTGCATAGTCTCTTTGTTTTTAGTGCTTGCTCGACTGGCAAGCCTGCATGCAACTGATGTCACGGCACTGAAAAGTGGGAGTATATTTGAATGTTGGTTTCTGCTTCATTTTCCTTTGCTGATTTCACAATAACTATTACGAACTTCGTGACACTAAATAGCATACCGGAAAGGGTGAAGGCCAGGGATTCAGAAAATAGTTGGGGTAGCTCGAAAATTCACCGGAGTACCCCTTTAACAGTGTCACATAGCTTTTGGAGTTGGCAAATGGTAAGAACCTCTGCAAGCACTGCCTGTGTTCCCACCACTATTTTCTACTTCATGGTACCTTCAAGAAATTACACAATATTGGGCTTCACATGAGCTCAAGGTCAGACATGAGGCACCTAGAGAACAGTCTCGCATGAATTGCTATTCTTGGCACTTCAGTGGCAACCAGCACAGTACAACTGCTCTACTGCAAAGCAATAGACACAAAGCAACAATAGGCCTTTCGATTGGCAGTGCATGCAAGACGTGAAAGCCATCCCAGTAAGATTAAAATGTTTTTGCATGCACGTGTAACAAGGCAACGCTTCGATTCTGCCTGAAGGCTGTCACTTTCTGTACAACACATCGGGAGGCACTCACTTGATCGAATGACGTTTTAGCGAATGCCCACGTTTCGCCGAACGACACTTTAGCGAATAGTTGGACGCCGCGAAGCGGCGTTTTCGGGTGGGCCAAGTGAGTTCATATTTTTGTAATGAGTTGCCGCAGACTGTCGCCGCGAAGCGGCGTAAAGCGCAGCGCGATGGATGGGTTAACGCGCGCCCCCGTTATTCGCTAAAACGACCATTCGCTCAAATGTCGCCGTTCGCTAAAATGTCATTCGGTCTTGTGATATGGACCCCAACACATCATAGTTTGCTCTATCACGTTAGCATAGTTTTAGAGTAACTATTGAGCTCCGAAGTATCCAGGATAAAACAAACAATACAAGTACAGAACTTTCTCAATAAACATTCAGAGCCCTAGATTTATGAGCAATTCTGAAACTAGCTACACTCTGTTTCATGCAAGTACAGAATAGCTTTGTTTGATTTGCCTGCACCGGTGTGCTTCCGATCATATTTCAATACCTATACCGAAAGTACACTGCCCTACACTTTTCTGCACCGGTGAAGGCAAATCTAAAGAAGCTACTGTCAATGCTGCTAGCGCAAACGTGACTTCATCCAGCGCTTCATTTGCATGCACACTTGTGGAAGTGAGAGATCAAATTGGCAAGCACGCCAGGGGGTTTGACAGCATGATCTTGTCCAGTGCCCATGAATGTGGTATGGTTCCAAGCTTTCACTGTATTTTTCCAAAAAACCCAAATACTTGTCAATACTAAAGAAGAGGGAAAACAACAGCGCATAGTATTGACTAAGCCACGACCCGACCGAGGACTCCGCACGTCCTATTTAGATAGTGACGACCTACTCAATCGCCCGGTTTCTTTTTCTTTTTTTTTTTTGTTTTGTTATAGCGGTGCTTTGTGTGTTCATTGTTATTGTGTTCAACCCAATTGTATGGTGCAACAAACCCATGCGTACGTGCCATCGGCCTTCCGTTGCAACCAGACTCTCTTAACGAGCTAAAAATATCAATGTACAAAACTAACCCGCACTTTGTCAGCTCCAAACCAGTTGAAAGTGCGAATCAAACGGTCAAGACAAGAAACAAGCGAAAAGAGAACCGAATGTGAATTTAATGAAACGCATAACATAATATTGTTGGATTATATATATATATATTTTTTTTTTCTTTCAGAGAAAACGTTTTTTTACATGCGAATCCCAACCTGGCGGTTAACATTTTCGGCGTCATGCGTGTGTGGGTGCTCTACTCACTTTCCAAAGCCTCGAACAGACGGGTGTCGGGCTGGAGATTTGTAAACATTGAAAAGGTGTGCATCGCACAAAAAGTCAACCAAGGAAGAAGCGTTTCTGCAAGGCTCGCCCGACCAACGCAAATAACGTAGCAGTGATTTTACATGCTGCAGAGTCGTTCAGCCAACAGCTCTGCCAAAGCCAGCTAAGCAGCAAGTCGCGTACATCACTTGTGACCGCCATTAGAACTAAACAAACCTGTGGCATCGAATTGATTGGGAGCAGTAATAGCAGTACCAAACATTACTTCGACAACAAACTGCAAACACGGAGCCGACGCCGATCTCGAAAAAATGGCGTCGATGTCCCACCCAGCGTTGGAAACACCCTTGTCAGCTGTAACGTTTATGCCCATGTTTGGTAGGTAGAACACTTGTGGGCGATAAATTGTTGAGATGCCGTGCAAGTAAAATGCGCAATAAACGTAGCGACTCAGCCCACAGGAACACTAGCGCAATGCAGCTGATGCAGCCGCGAAATATAACTTCACCCTAACCACTGTACCCTAACTCGTAGTGAATTACATTTTCGTTGCTGGCGCCCTCTACAAAATTTATTCACCGCGCGTCCCAGTGAGGGAGCTGACGGCAGGCCCAGTCATCCAGTTGGCCCAGTTTTTCCGCTGCAACGTGAGATGTCGTCGCTTGTAGTTGCGTTTAAAATCACGAGAACGCGGAAAAGGACGACATGAGTTGGTAACTAGCTTCCTTTACGCTATTGCAACGGCGAGGGCGGTCGCAGAGCTGGCACTTTCATCGCATGACTCCAGGGAGCTAGGAAATCACGATTCGCTATGCATAAGGACATAGGTAGCCGAGGGCTGTTATAAAGCACAGAGCGGTCGTGTTTTGTGTTCTTTTGACTATTTTAAGAGGAATTCGCTAACCACTTTGTTTACTGGATGAGTATTGAAAGCCTTTGTGACAAACCACTTTTTATCTTTTCTGTAAGAAACGTTGGTTGAGCGCTGTTCTTGAGCGAGCACTTTTCCCCGTCTAGGAATCCTCTGAAACGACTGTCGAAGCCATCGACTCGCACCTCTCCTGGAGGTGAACTGGTAAGCAACACACCAGAATTCTAGGTCAGCCCTTTTTGCCCCTGCTCTAACTTGCCCACTCAACAGGACGAGAAGACTGTCGAAGAATATGTATCTAAATTTGTTCGGTAAGAATGTGCACAAACCCGTTCGTGCTCCCTCTGACCGGTACTGTTTGCATGTTGCAGCCTGGAGACTGATACAAAGAAACTGCACAAGGATGCCAAAAAGTATGAGGATGCCATGCTTGGTAAGAGAGCCTTACAGAACCTGCCAGCATGACTGCGAGTATGGGCACTGATTGTCCTGTGCTCCTTTGCAGCATTGTACCACTGTGAAAAAAAGATGAGCAGCGACCTGGCCAACGGAGAGCTGTGCAATGACAACCCCGAGCTGCGTAGACTCGTGGAAGAGTGGCTAAGTTTTGCATCGTCCATGGATTCTGCTGTAGACGATCACGTAAGAAACCAAGGCAAAGTTTGCCTCTTTCGAGTACCTCCCAGCACTAGCCTGCCATGTCAAGCTCCGAATCTCGTGCCAGTACCTCCAGGGTAGTGAACAGGGGGCGCCTCAATCAGCTGCTAGTCAGTACGGCTGGTAGCCAAAAAGGGCAAGATTGGGAAGGCCACATCACCGAGCGATTGGACACAAGCATTGCGTCACAACTCTGAATGGCGCTCAGAGATTCAAGCTTGAGATTGGTTCTAATAATCGCGGCCCCCCGGCCGTTTGCGTTGCAAAACCCCCATAAGATGGCGCCACTTGTCAAACCAAACTTCACGTTGGGTATTGAAAGGGAGTGCAGAGAAAGCACTCGAAAAGCCTTTCCCTTCTGCTAGGTCAAAGTTGGGAAGTATTCAAGTTACTCCAGGAAACAAGGTAAGGCAGGCCAGGAAAAAAATTTTCTTTTCATATTGTAGGCACAAAAGCATCTTGCATTAGCCGGCCCTTAAAGGGGTACGGAAACGAAAATTGAAATATACAAATTTTGTTCGGAAATGAGTCAAGCATGACGGATAATAACCGTAAATGATAATCGCAGGTTTGTATTTTGAACGACTGGCTATATTTTTCGTTCCAAACGGTGCACTCGAGCAAGCGCTCAATGAGAAGCGAACGGAAAGCGCAATGCGTCGTGGAATATCCGGTGCAAACAAAAACAAAAAAATGATTCACAGCATTCATGACGTGGCAAGGCTGATGTGGTTACGAGCTTTGCCGTTGCTGGCGTTGTGGTGGCGTCAACGTGTTACAACCGAGCCGTTCGAAGTACTTGTGGGGTGACGAGCATCGTGCGTGTCGTGTTCGTGTGGCCCGTTCTCCCCCTAGAAGATTAGCCCATTGCTCCCAACTCTGACAAAAATTGCTTCACCCACCCCGTTCACCCCTAAGCTGACAATGTGGTGGAAGCTATACGCTTGCTGGACCAATCAGCTGCCTCCCTTTCATGACCTGACCGCATTCTCTGCACGTGGGTTTGTGCGAGGGAGCGGGATCACTTGACAAAAGTGTAGCTGGCCCAACGAGCTCGTAGCTTCCACAGCACTGTCAGCTTAGGGTGAACGGGGTAGGGAAAGCAACTTTTGTCCCGAGTTTTGAGCAACGGGCTAATCTTCTAGAAGGAGAACAGCGGTGTCGGGGTACACAAACGAGGGTCCGAGCAAGAGTAAAGTCCTTCCTTTCCGTCTTCTTGAACTGTTTGGTACAATGCGCAATTTGTGAGTTAAGGAAAGCTAAGAAGGAAGAAGTTTAAAAATTGTTTCATGACCGCTTTAAACAGTTGAGCATACTTCCAAAGAGCGGCACTGCGCCGATGTTTAGTGCGGTTACGAGACTGTTCTTGCTACGTCATGGCCTACGTGGCAAGATCCCCAACGTTGCTAGATAGCCTCCAAAATGGCTGCACATGCATCCACCAGGTGCACATTGAAAGATTGTTTAATTAGCTTTAAAGGGGCCCTCTGGAGCTTTCTGCGATCGTCTGTTTATGTTGTTATATTGCGTAGTAGGTGCAAGTTAATATGTATACAAAGTTTTAGATTGCAAAACCGTTTATTAAGCAGATGGCAGTAGAAATATATCGGGACTATTTTCTCTTGGAAGACAATCCCCCATTCCCTGCCCATCGCTAAAACTTGACCAATGGAAATGCTGCATCTCGCGGTGAATGCAAACATTATTATTGCAACACTTTTTAAGCTTGTTGTAAATTAGAGTTTGAGAAAAACGTAAACTGATTGTGGTGTGGGAAACATAGTCCGCAATTATCGCTCCAAAACCAGCGAACTATGTTTTCTCCCCGCAAGCTTGTTGCTAGGGGGTGATGCGTCAGCGCGTCGGCTCGTCTGCAGGCGTGCGTTTGCGGGACACGTGTTCCTTCTTCCCGTGGATCCCGACTCCGAAGCCAGCTTTGCGATCCTTCCACGTCAACGAGTCAAACTTTTCCTTGCCATCTGCGGAATGCCACTGCGTATTGCAGTAGCAGCGCGACGGTGCGGTGCGACGAACGATGACTGCCGAGCACAAAGTCCGGGCTCCTTGACGACGGTCCGCGCGTGTTCAAGAGATTCCTCCGCGGGTCGGCGGTCGGCCGCGTTGGTGACGCGCAGTGACGCCGGAATCCTTCGCTTGCTATTGGCTGACGCGTAAAGAGATGCCCCTCCCGTTTTCCGGGGTCATCTCGGAAAGGGGGGCATGCCGGGGACTTTGATAGCAATTTTAATAGGGAAATCCGCCGCGCATGACCGTAATTTTATGATTTTTAGGATCCTTAGGGCCTCTAGATTGAGTTACCGCCATAAATAGACCATTGCAGAACGCTCGGGAGGGCCCCTTTAAATTTAGTTTTCTTGTGCCTTTCAACGAAAGACTGGTGTTTTCGAGGTTATGCTGCAACATGTAACACATTAAAGCTAAAAAGTGAGTGCTGGAATTTTTTATTTTTTGCCAGGTGATTTAATATGGTGTCGGAAGACTACCCAATTAATATTTTGCTACAGAGTTGCATATATTTTTAATAAAGTTAAGAAATGTAGCTGCTCGATACCGGAACCTGCGCTCGGAGGTCGGAGAAATATAGAGTGAGTGAGTGCCGTAAGTCACGTGGCTACAGCCGACCGCGCTTTTTGTTCTTTTTCCTTCATTCTATTCTTTTGGCCTCGCGCAGCAGTTGCATTGTTGACAGCTTTGCGGGTACCATTTGCCCTGCGATTGCTTTGCAGTTATGTTTGTTTTTTTTGCTGCTCTGCACTTCAAGGTTAGTTGTTTTGTACATTGAATAGTTGGAAATGAGTAGCAAGTGTCTGTGGTGAATGCCCGTGATCGGCTCTGAAAAGAATGCCCCCAAGATCAGGCACATATCTAGAGAAAAAGGGGGGGGGGGTGGTCCATGCAAAATGAAAGATTCCAGGGGGGGGGGGGGGGGGCTAGAGTCTTCCATTTTGCTGGGGCCTCCAATCCCCCCTTCCCCTCATACAGCATTTTGTCATGGGCCCCCCCCCCCCCCTTCCACCGAATCAAAATCCGGGCTACGTGCCTGCCCAAGATGTTGCGTGAAGAGCTGCCTCACAGGTTCTACATCCAAAAGTGGTATTGTGTGGCAGAGTCTGCACAAGTTTCTGAAAGATCAACTTGATCAGGACCAATGGCTGGCTGCAATTCCTGCAGAACAGTTACGGGTGCCTCGGAAAGTGGACGCTACCCGATTTATGTGCTTGTCGTATTTTGTGAAAAGTGACTGTACATTGAATTCGTGGGTGTCAAAAAGGGAGTCCCATACCATTTAGTTCAGCAATGTTTCGTCCACAACATTTTTTTTTTAGTAATAATTGTAAAAAAGAAATGTGTAAATATTGCAAAATGTTTGACAAAAATAAAACAGTATGCCCACTCTCTGGATTAAACCTGGGTCCGCTGCATGTAAAACGGACACCTTTCCACTGAGCTACTCTACAGCTTTAAATAGTCGTTTTGACAATTTGTTTTATGAGACCCAATAGAGGACAGCCGGTACTCTACAGCTTTAAATAGTCGTTTTGACAATTTGTTTTATGAAACCCAATGGGGGACAGCCGGCAATTTTTTTTCTGGGTTGTGCCGGCTACTGGCAGAATATCCACTTCCCAACGACCTAGACTTGTGAATGTCCTTGGGCATAGGCAGCTTCCTTTCGTGGAGCTCGAAGTGTGAGAGTGCTAGCATTGTAATGTTCAGGCAGATGAGGGGGAGCTTCTTGTTCGTAGTAATGCAGCCGGTCGACTGTAGGTTGAAAAGTTTGCTGCCAATTTCCCTGCACCAAAGGCACACCCCAGGCTCGAAGTCAGGCAGCACCACGGATCGGCCACACTCGCACCTAGTAAATAAATTGTTCGCGTGCATGTTTACTCGATGTATGCACTTCATGCTTGACATTGGCGCGTCACCTATTTGTGTTTGTAAGACGAGCGATGTCTTCAGCCACGAGAAGGGGCGACGACTCAGCAACGTCTTTGTGCAAATCGGCTTGGTGGTCGGGCATGTCGTACGGAATGAATCCTAATTGTTTTGATCGGTCCAAAATTTTTCTTTCAAAGACGGACAAATTCGCCGGTACCGTGAAAGACAGTTCTGAAGTAAGGTCCCACGCCAGTCGTCCGCCGCCATCACTGTCCAGCCCGCGAGTCTCACGATATGCGACACGACGCCATGTTCAGAATTACGCAGTGAACGCACAGAGTGCTTCCGGTTCTCTGTGCAACTTTTGTTCTTGAATCAATGTATTTGCAGCTTTTTAGAAGCCACAAAAAATGGGCTTAATTTTTTTTTTTTTTTTTTTAATATTGAGTGTGTGCTTTCAGTGATCCACGAAAAAATTGATTAAATTTGGGGGTTTTGCCTAAACCTTGGAAAAAGGCCCGTGACTATAGAGAAGAGAGTGAGCGCGACTCAAACCGGCCAGTTCTCGATCGGCGGTTTTTGGGCGGAAAGGAACCGAATTTCGAGCCCCCAATTCTGTTCTGGGTAGTTGGGCTCTCTTATTTCATGTACAACTAAAAACCTCGGCGAGCATAAATACCCTGTCAGTATCCCTTTAATTTCGTAGTTGTAAGGGCTGTAGATTACACATTTATAGCCATCCCATTTTCATAGTTGCCAGGTTTCATGAGATGTCAATGAATGGTGGCTTTTGACCACCCAGTAAAGCTGCTGCCCGAAGATTCTGACCTAAATAGCTTGTTCGTTCGAGTGAGGAAGAATGGATAGGTAGTATGCTCTTTTGACGTGTCTAATGTGCTCTTTCACGCCTGCCAATTTTACTGCCTTTAGTTTGTGGATGTGAACCAAACTTTCCCTGCCTTCCTAATAGCTCTTTTCCTCCAACAGCTGGTGGCGATTAGACGTTGCCTCGTAGACCCCCTCAAGAGGTAAGTGAGCAAAAAGCCCGTGCAACGGCAGACGAGAATGGACCAACACGCCAAAGCGCGCAGGTACCAGACAGTCTTCACGGAAGTGCAGGCGGCGCTCAAGCGTCGCAACCAAGTGGCCCAGGAGTGCGTCCGACTGGAGCAGCGTGCGGAGCGACTGGCAGGCCGTGAAACAACTGGTCCCAACCTGGCCAAGCTGAGCGAGTGCAAGCAAGCCCTCGAGGCGGCACGGGGCGACTTGCGTACCCAGGGTGCACTGCTGGCCCAGGACCTGCCACGCTGGTACCAGGCAAGCAACCTCTACCTGCAGCCCTGCCTTGAAGCCCTGATGCACAGCCAGACCCTGCACTGGGGGCAGGCAACAACGTGCGCGCACAATCTGCTCGCCCCAGGTGCGAAGGTGCCCGTGGAGCAGCGCCTGGCCGCTGTCAGGGCCCTCTCCATCGTGGCACTGCCGTCGTAAAGGCCACAATAAAGCACTTTATTTTTGTATTTGTTTGCATCGGTGGTACTCACTCTGTGGAATATACCCTGTCTTCAAAATTCTAGAGCTTCATATTAGCCATCGAGCGCACGCAGAACTTTGGGATTTGTTGAAAATGTTCCTTTCCAAGTAGAGGTTGTAAATTATCCAGACTGCAACTGATATTCAATCATCAAAATTCCCATTCAAAACCCACCACCCAAAAAAAGTTGCTCATGTAACCAGATCACAATGTTGTGTACATGCTTTGTTTTAACTTCTTAAGTTTAACTGTACCAAATATCCTTTACGCAGACAGAAGTGGAGCCCCCAGTAATGCTGAGTGCTTTTACACAAACTTTGATATCTTTGGCACTGGTGTGAAGTCTGACGAAAACACAAATATTACCTCGGGACCAGTGGTGTAGCCAGGTGAGGGGCTTATGAGGCTTAGCCCCCCCCCCCAACCCCGAAATCCAGCCAACCCTATAATTAAGATTCCATGTTTTTGGAGTTCATTTTTCGCTAAAAGTTCGTGGTTTACAGACTTTAATTTTGTTAGATTCCCAATTCTCTGAAATTCTGGGTTTATTTTATTGTTCCCAATTTTTAAAATTCAGAAACAAAATGACTAAAATTTGGGTACCATGACCCGTTGTCCTGAAGGAACCTTGATATCCTAAAAGGCAACCCCTGTTTGTTAGTACTTAAAGATTAAAAAAAAACAACCTGAAGTGGCATTTCTTCAGGATCACTGACCCTGTGCTCTTATAAGTAGACTCTCATTAATTCAAACTCCAGGAAGTCACAGATTTTAGTTTGAATTACCAGAAGTTTGAATTATCAGAAATTCATCTAAATATGATACTAGACAACATTATGATTTGTTACATGGATAGCTACACATACAAAGCAGATTTTTGCCTGTTTCCTCTACATAGGATAATTATAAGCAAGTACAGGCATAACACATTGGGGAAAGAACTGTGACATTAAGTTTATTCATCCAGCAAAAAAGTTGTTGATAGTGGACTCTTTAATCAGTACATGAGACCTCAAAACAAAATTTTCAATACCAGCCAACGCAAGTAGCTCTTTACGGGACTCTCCCTTTGCAGACAGAAACTTCCGGAGCTGAGCGATGTGCTCAAAGGCCTCTGCAGCTGTGACAGTTGGTAGTGGGCCATCCCTTTCTTCATCGTCATCTTCACTCTCACTGCTGCACTGTGCTGGCATTATTTCCTTATGTCCTCTAATGAGTCATCACGACAGACACACATCGTCGTCAAGACTAGCATATTCCGCCAGCTCGGCGTTCACATTATCTGCTTCAAGGCCAGAAAGCATGACGCCAGTGAGCTGTTCCTCATCCTCGATGTCGTCTTGGTTATCATTGCTAGTCTTGAAGCACATAATGTGAACGCCGTTTTCCGCCAGTGTTGTGCCCATTACCAAAAAAAGTAACGAAATAGCGTTACTCGTTAGTTTGGTAAAAAGTAACGCGTTATCGAGCTACGTTACTCTTTTACAAACGTAACAATATACCGTTACTTTTATGTTACTTTTATGTTACTTTTATGTTACTCTTCTGTTCGAGTACATATGTTTGGCAGAGATGTATGATAAGCCTCCTTAACAAGCTTGGATAAAGATAAAAGTTTACAGAGTGGTTTCATAGTGTTTTGATGCACGAAGCAGCTTAATTTTCGGCATGCAGATTAGGTATTGTAACTGTAAATGACATGATTCTGTCTCCTTTAGTTGATACATTTCATTCAGACCTGCTGGCCATGGCAACGGACTTTCGTTATTCACGCCCATCTCACGCGCAAAATGAGTCGGAGATGTTAGTCAATCGGCTTTTATAAACTACAGCATGCGAACGAGGACTGCTGGAACACAACCAGCCAACCAACACCCCTTATCTGTACGCCGGTTTTAGTAACCGTCCGGTTCATACTATTACCAGAGACTGGTTTGCTTCACTATCTGGAACAGGACACCGGTTACCAGCACACTGGCTATAATCACTTGCTGCCTCTTACCAGCAGTAGCTCTTAGTTTTTCTGTGAAAAAAAAAGGTTTCGTGTTTGTAAGTTTTCTTTCCAGGTTTAAAACTTTTTAAAAAACTTTTTATCATGACCTTAGGGAATTAAAGACTAATCAAGCGAAAGATTCTTCTGTGTACAAAAGTGGGTCAGGAACTTTCAGGCAGCGAGGGGGAGAGCGAGAGTAAAAATATTCCACAAAGGATGTTTCTTTTCTTTTTTTTTTGAAACTAGAGAAATGAGCAAATCGGCTTCGCCACTAGTTGTCCATTGTTGTAAACGGATGTCTCTCCACGGCTTCCCAACCCCCCCCCCCCCCCCCCCCCCCCCGCCCCCGCTGTCCACTTCTGCTGCGCAAAGCAGGGGGGGGGGGAGGGTCAGGAGGGAGGGGAGGAGGCTGTAACACAGTCGTTCGTTCAAGCCTTGCAGGTGGTGACACTATGAAAAAAAAAAAAAAAAGAGGATGAACGGAATTAGCTGGTAGCCGAAGGTTTTTTTCGCCTTCGAGAAGTGAGTTTTTTGGGGTTTTTTTAACTTTACTGTGACGGATGCTGGTTCCGTGCAGCGATAAGCTGGTGCAGGATTTTGAGATAAGCTCGTGCAGGATTTCACCAGTTTTGGTCAAAAGTAACGAGTAACGAAATTTGACAGCCGATACCGTAAAAAAGTAACGGAAATACTTTACTCGTTAGTCATTCAGAATACTAACGAGTATGTTACTGCGTTAGCGAAAAATGTAACGCGTTACCAGTAACGTTGTTACTAGTAACGCGTTACCTCCAACACTGTTTTCCGCTAATGTGTGCCCGCTTGAGCCCCGTTGAGTGCGCTTCTATTTGAGCACCGGTGCACTGCGGAGAAGCAACATTCGCGAAAACAAGCTCCGCGGGTATTGCTTCTCTGCGGTGCACCGGTGCTCGGAAAGAAGCGCACTCAACGGGGCCGCGAGAACAAAAAAGTATGAATTAAGCGAAAACGCCGTTCGAATTAAGCGGCTTATAAATACATTAAAAACATAGCGGGACAACCAAAATTTTCAGATCTGTTTGAATTAACCGGAAGTATGAAATATCCAAGTTTGAATTATCGCGAGCCTACTGTAAAGTTTGTCTGTAACACATTTTCTTTTGTGTGTGTGTGTGTGTGTGTGTGACCTTGGAAGTTTTTAGTGTTTTGGGTATGTTTTTCGGATTTATCCGAAAACATGGAACCCTACCTATAATATACCCATAATTTTTTACCCCCCACCCACCCACACCCCAAATATAATATTTATCATCTAGCTCGGCCCCCGTCCTAACCTTACATGTACAAAGTTGCTCAAGATTACAAGTGACATCTAGTGGGCTCTTATCTCGCATATTTAAAAAAAACCTTGATTCTGGTGGTGTTCCGGCTGACTGGAAATCTGCAAAGGTTGTCCCGATTTTTAAAAATGGCGCAAAAGACGTCCCTGCAAATTGAAAATATCCGGCCCATATCTTTAACCTCTTTTAAGTAAATTGATGAAATGTCGTTTATTCCAGTGTAATGAATTATTTGTGTAAACAATATACTCTTTACGAACCAGCACGGTTTCCGGCGGTCATACATACTCCTGTGAATCTCAACTTTTTAAAATTTTTAACGGACATTCACCATAACCTATACATAAAAAATATGAAACTCATGCTATCTTCATTGATTTAAAAAAGCATTAGATTAAGTTCCACATTGTCGTATTATCCAAAAACTAAAAGCACTCGAAGTAGAAACGTCCGTTATAAACTGGGTTGAAAACTTTCTTTCACATTGAACACAATGTTGCTATAGACAACATTTGTTTGTCACAGAAACTTGTTAAATCGGGAGTACTGCAGGGCACCGTGCTAGGTCTATTGTTTTTAATTTACATAAATGACCTGTCAGATCTTTTTAATTCCACTATTAGATTATACGCGGACGACTGCGTGATTTATAGAAAAGTAATGAGTGTAATTGACTCTACTCTTTTGCAAAATGACTTGTCACATATTCAAGCATGGTGTCTAAAATGGCAAATGGAGATCAGGGTTGACAAAATTAAATTTCTTAACTTCACTACAAAAAAAAAAAAAAAGATCATTACTGAGATTGGCTATTCACTTTCTGCCATACCAGTTGGAGCCGTAATATCCTACAAGTATCTTGGCATCAGCTTCTCATGGGAGCCTCATATAAACTACATATTTGTGAAAGCAAACAGAAGTTTGGGATTTTTGAAGTTTTTTTTTTACTTAAAAAAAAAAATACTTGTTGCATATAATCCTTTTATCCGTCCTCAACTCGAGTGTGCATCCATTGTCTGGAATCCCCATCAGTTGTATCTAGAACAAAAACTGGAAGCTGTACAGAACCGGGCTACATGTTTCATTTTCCACAATTATCAGCCCACAAGTGTTACCGCAATGAAAGCTAAATTAAACCTCCCTTTTTTAAAGCACAGGAGAAAAGTATCACATTTTACCTACCTGCACAAAATGTAGTATAATTTTCCTTTAAAAAAAATATTAATACTGCCCACTGGCCACCCACATCTCCCCCCTCACCAACCAACACTCAAAATTCAGCGGACTACACCTAAGACTAGCCTATTCAAATTTTCTGCCTTACAATTGGCCATTACTGATTGGAGCAAGCTCCCAGAACCTATTGTGAGCATCCCAGAACCCAGTAGCTTCCAGATCTGTCATTTCCTCTCTCTTCACCATCTAGCTTCCTTTTTGCAGGTGTTCTCAAAACGACACAAACATCCTAGTCTTTTTTGTTTGTTGTGTTACTTTGAGTGCTCATATTTGCCCCCCCTTATGTCAAGCCCTCTGTGGCATTCAAGGGTGAAATAAATGAAAGGAAATGAAATCGTAGACATCCCAGGTGCCTTCCATCCCCCAAAAAAGATTCCTGGCTACGCCACTGCTCGGGATCTCTGGTTAACAGCACCAACTCCGAACAAAACTTTTTAC